TTTTTTTTTTTGGCCCCAAATTTCGGGGCATGGGGGTGGCCCCGAAACTACTTGAAAAAAGACTTTGGGGCGGATGCGCAGTCGCCGATTTTGCCCCTCCCCTGTAGTGCAACCTAGTGTCCTCGCCACCGTCAGCCACGGGTATCGCACCTACACCAAAGTCCTACACCGAGGCTGCCGATGCCAGAGCTGTGACATCACATGCTCTATGGTGGAGACGGAAAACCACCCTGAGGGTAGAAAATCGGCTTACATAAGGTGGGACGAAGACAGGGGAATTCAATAAGATGCGTCTGATTTTCGTCGCCCGTGCATGTTCAGGATTTGCTCTGTAGTCGTGTACATGTTACTGTACGTTTGCCAACCGATCGTACACAGCACGTGACTAGATGATGATGTGGTTTGATAGGGCGGACCGCGAAAAGGAGATTGATTTGAAGAGGCTTTATTGTGGACGAAGTGCATAGACTAACCGTATAGAAGTATCTTGGAACACTTAAAGATACAGCTCGTCATGTAGATTGAGATTCTGATCTGTCTAGTCTAATATCCCTCCTGCGGCAGCCAACTGCCCGTGAGGATCCTTGATACCAACCAAAGCAAGTGGCAACATGGATACCAGCCCTTCCACTTCCCCCCGGACGTCACAAGGTTTAGGCTGGTGAGAGATTAGAGTCGACAATGCAAGAGGATCCTCTTGCCGCGTTGTTTGCCGTCAGGCGTGGTTGGTGCTGATCGTTCAGCGCAAGATGTTTCAACAAAAATAGCGTGTGCGGTGGGAAGCGAGTCAACGCGTCCCTGTCGGCCTGCTAAAAACGCAGGTCCAACTAGTAAGACTATCCGTGCGAAGTGTACGCGGTCAGCGGAGTCCAAGGGTTTATTCTATGGATACAGGCAGTCGCCTGGTTTGCGCCATCCTGTTATTTCCTCTACCTTGAAACGGTGGTATGTTGTGCACGCCCTCAGTCGCATCAACACCACCTCCGATCTGATCTGGCAGCCCCACCTACATATCTCCATCTAACTTTGATCCCCGCTCTGACACGAATTCCTATCCTGATCTACCCGTGGAAGGAATTCGTGTGCTTTATAGGGGAGAAAGTCGAGAACTTGGACGTCGATGTCTCAGTCGTTCTCTTCGACGCCAAGGTGAGCTCAGATACAAAGGGGAAAAAGTAGAGGCATGATGTTTGTCGAACTGCTGATCCATGTGCTTTGCTCGACAATCGAACGAGATGTCTGTAGCGTCTGGCGCACAGACCCAAGTATTAGACATCTGATCTGTCCAAAACTGGGCCTAGATTGCAGCCTCCTTCAGTTGTGACGAATGACCAGCCTGTATTCGGCTAACACATACCCGTTCTGGTCGGTGCTGGGACACTTGTAAGGTTCTATTGTTTCACCTGCATCGGCCGAAGCCAGGGCCAAGGTGTTGGCGCTCCACTTATAGGGGTGGCCACGATCGGGCATAGGAGGACCAGTTCATTGTTTGCACTCTTCACTTGGTTAACTTTACTTCTTCACATATTCTCCTCGAACCCTTGCTTTCATTTGTGCGGGGAACATTTTTCCGGCCAGGGAAGCTACGTTGAAACTGTCGGCTATGGATGCCCCATTTCCACTGACGGGAGTATCGTTCACAAGCACGATTCGGTTCAACCTGAAGCCGGCAAGATATCGGAGGATGTCGACTTCGATCTCTCCATGGTGCACAAGAGGGTGAGCACAACAAGACAAATCGCACTGTTGTGTGCGTGTTGCTTGGCTTGGTATGTTGTCCAAGCACGAGCAGCAAATATTCCGTAGACATATGTGAGCCAGCTGTACATTGTCTTCGCTAGACATTATACGGACCTCCCAAGTCAGTGCCTTTGAATGCAAGACTCCGATCTAAGGAGCGAACACTGAAAAATACTTCTGCATCTCCCGGACAACATAATAATTGCGATCGGCCCAGATTTACTCGGCTTGCCTGGTGGCCACCACCTACGGCAAGAATACTTTCTCCGCCCTTCGAAGCATCCAGCTTCGCATACTCGCTCCGTCGCATCTACTGTCAGATTCACTGGAGAGGGAGATTGCGAGGGTCGTCTTCTCCCGGGTACGTTGTTTCAAATGTGGTGGCTGTTGTTGTTGTTGCTCCTGCTGCTGCTGATGCTGCTGCTGCTGCTGCTGCTGTTGTTGTGTTGTTCCTTTTGTAACTTGTCGTTGTTGTTGATAGAAAATCATTTCCCACGAACCTTCTCCTGTCGATATATCAGGCATGAAACACGACCACCTCCCATCAACAACCACGCCAACAGCAGATCAATATTCTTCAGAGCGATTGAAACAACAAACATTCCACGTTATTCCGACAATGCTCCCGGCAGGAGGGTTGTTTCGGGAGGAAGCGAAACGGCAGCAGTTTACCTAGCCGACAATCAAGCATGCCCAACGTTGTAGTCCTCGGCGATATCAGGAGACTTCTTTCTCAGGCTGCGGCAGTAGGGGGTGATGTGGGCGGCGGACCTCCCGGGGTAGGAGGAGAGCCAGGAGCGTGGAACCTTCGAGCACCAAACGTCCTCGCATCGCACGTAGATACACCGCAGGAGGTAACTTTACACGTTCGTTCCGTAGGATCGCTCCCAGTTCCCGGCCGTTCAGGCTGTAAACGTTTTCGTGGGATAGGTTCGACTATTTCGTGCTTCGCGCTGTGGATAAACATATTCTCGTGAAATGGTGCCTTTCCTGACGGCATCAATCCACCGGGGGGGGGGGGGGGGGNGGGGGGGGGGGGGGGGGGGGGGGGGGGGGGGGGGGGGGGGGGGGGGGGGGGGGGGGGGGGGTGCCTTTCGATGGCGAGGGTGGTGCTGTAGAATTTTGCGGGGTACGTCAGCAAATGCCCTGGAGGAGTACACGGGGTGGTGTACGGGCAATGGTGTTCATTGTTATCTAGGTTCAAGACTAAACAGGGTAATGCGGCAACAATCGGCTCAAAGTCTTTGAGGACATCGAGGTTTATCGAGAGATCAAACAGAAAGCCGGCAGAGCATGCCACGAGCGTCAAACCGCCAAGCTTTCTGAGAAGAACCATCCGGTATCTCGGCAATTACTACATGTTTTTGAGGACACTAGGAAGCATCTAAGGTACGTAGGGCTGCCCTGGGTCAAACTTGCGAGCTCTGAGAACATCAAGTTTTTGCGATCCGTGTAGTGTTCCAGGACAGACTATTTTTTTATCCGGCTCCCCTGGCGAGCAATCATCGCATGTTCTTTACAGACTTAGCAGTTTTGACCAGGCAAATATGATAGTCCGTTCCGCAGTACCTGGGGTGCTGCGAAAAAGTGAGCTTTCGGGCCGCCACAAATAGCTTATATCGCATATGTGCTGTCGGACAATTTTCTGGCATTGGTTGAACAGGTGATACCTCTCGTCCAGTGCTATCTGCGGGATTGGATTCCCTCAATCGAAGTCATAGGACAGGAACTCCTGATCAGGTAGCGTGGTCGTTTCCCATTCGTTGTTTGTTAATGATACTCATTGTCAAGCTCGGCTATACACTGCGTAGTAGGGGCTGCTGGAGCCGTAGAGCAAGATGAGAAAAGCTTCAACACTCAGTGATGAGTGACCCTCTTCTTCATGCACTCCGACGTCGTTCGCCATGTCCAACGTCGGCCCCATATGCATGAAGACCACGAGGTTCACGCAGAACCGGGTTCGTTTTGTGAAAGGGCTTGAATTTGTCACAAACGCCCCCCCTTGGCCAGGCGTGTCTACGATATCGTCAGCTTTCTCCCCGTCGGGGATCTCGAGGCGATGAAGGCTGATTGGGTGAAAGCAGGGACCTTCGGGGTCACCAAAGAGCTTTTCCTGGGAATAATGCTGCGGGTGAGGAACGTTCGGCGGTGGCTTGGGGAATGACAAGCGGTCCTTGCCATTCCGAGGGAACTTCGCGATTAAGTAGTAGTGCCTCGTTGGTGTAGACCCAACGGACGTTGGGCATTGCGCAGAATCTTGCGCAAATTCGACGGCTCTTGTGCTTCTAGGGTAAACCCAGCGCAGGTGCGTTGTTTCGTGACGAAGGAAGGGGATGAGTCGGGGCGGACTCCGCTGGCCCATTTTGAGGCGGAATGACGTTCTCACTCCGACCAGAGTGGGACCATTATTCCTACCTCTCCCTTAGTCTTCAAGTCTTGAGACTGCGGCGGTACCGCTGAGGGACCTGATGAAGCTGCGTGAGGGTGGTTCTGTCGGAATAGGGTTAGCACCTGCTCCGGAGGCTGGAGACATCAAACCACCACATTGTTGGGTTTCCTTCCATAGTTCCAGCGGCGTCACGTTGCACCAGGTCCTGCTGCGAGCACATGTTCCTCTCCGGGACGAGCGCCAGCGCTTGGAGCTGACGAGCCTCCTCTCCGACCTATTTGACCAGATATCGCGCACAAAGAGGTGAAAGACAAGCGATGAGCAACAGTGGTCGTCTTTCGTGTTGGCACGGCGGTACTTCCACATGTGTCTCTTCATGAATGATGGCGTCAGTTTTCCGACCACCGGCATCCTCATGTCACCGTTGGAACTCTCCTGGCGGTTTCGACACACTTTGTTTGGTGCTTGATTGCGGTGAATGCGGGGGTCGCCGAGTGTGATTGCTCTCACTCTTCGTCCTATTTCCGTCAGCTTGACGAGGTGAAAGGTCTCAAAAAGTCACGTCAATTTCAGGAGATGTGCATCTGTAGAGGATGATTTGCTGCAGAATGTTCGCATGCCATGAACCAGTGTCTTCGTTCCAATACTCAACCAATTAAAATGAAAGAGAGTCTAGTGCGAAAACCACGACGCGCGCGTACCGCGGGAAAGGCGTAAATATTTACCCTATCCCCAGAACTCGGTCAAATCTATGTCACAGCGCTGAACAACGCCTGGGAATCTTTCTTTGTCTGTGTTGGTGGTCCTAACAAACCAAAATAAGCAGAGATGGAGCAGAGGCGTTCACGGGATTAAGGTCGGGAAAGGATGTGCTCACATGGGAACAGTTTACCACCTTTTGGGTTGAGGCAGCGACGATCAACACTCATTCGCAGGTAGGCGCGGCCCCGTGCTTGTGCACCGATGCCATCAACGTTCCTGCAATAGGATTGATCGAGTTCTTTGCGGACACTCGACTCTACGGTTACAAGCATCGCATGGCTGTGGACGGAGTGAAAGGTGGCTCCCTGGACGGTCGTGTAGGCAATCGGAGTTTCTTCCAAGGCCAAGAACATTGAAAACCCCACTATCCACCCAGCAAGTCCTCACCGGTCTAGCAGCTCAGTAGTCATCAGATAGCCAATATTTTGAACCCGCTTCTTGCTGATATCCACGTCGTTCCAAATTCACTCTGAAGGTTCCCCTTAGTCAAACAATCTAACAGCAACCGAAAGGTCAAACATGGGGATATCTCGCTCATCGACCGCCACATCATATTTCGCTCGACTCAGGCCGTGCGGTGTTGGGCCGACGAGACGCTGCAGTGGGAGATGGACTCGAACTTTGAGTTGGCCGTGAGGAAGCCGACGAAGTTGATAAGTCTGCCTCTCATGCACCTCGTCGTGGGCCTCGAGGAACGAGGAAGCTACGTCAGGTAGAGGAGATATATGGTACACGTCAACGGACTATTGCTGACTGTGCAATAACCTTTCTGCAGAACCGGCGAAGCTCGTTGTTGATCTTCGACCCATGCGTCTCACGGCTCCGTTCGAAACTCAAGCATTTCCATGCGCTCCAGGAATTGGAGGTTCTTCTCCCTATGAGCACCTTAGGAGCCCGTTGATGATCATGAATTTTGAATAATCTATGTGCCATCTGTTTGCTAGTTTTTCCAGTGAAAATCGGACTCAGAATGAAGGAACTCAGGGCAGATACACAATGTAGGGTATGGTAGACCTCGTTGCCAAAGAAACAATGCAAGCGTGGACCATGCAACGGATCACAACAACCGTTTGGCCTGTCGTTTCGGTGTGTATCGACAGCATTCTCAACGGACATACCGGACGGCTACACGTGACCCTATGCCCAAGCACTCTACAGACCGTCACAACCGGAGGGCTCAACCCTCACGAGTCGTTCCTCACGGTATTGGATGTCGAGTGCATCGACACCAAGGTGAGAGCAAACGGGAGTGGAGGGGACTGGCGACGTCTTTCCAGGGCATAACATGTGGCCGCTACCAAGCGATCAGTTTTATTGATTCATTATTTCTAACTTGTGGTGGCCGAGTGAGACTCGAGTGTAGATAGGATGAGCTGAATATGGCTGCAACCACGTTTTTGAGATGAGATGCACAGGGTGATCCATTTCATTTGAGACTGCTGCCTAATACGCATTCCGCACGCTGTGCTTGACCTGCGGGCGTTATCAGCCACCTGTACGCAACACCGTAGAGCAGTAAACTCTTTCACACAGACAACGTAAAACTTGAAACATTCCGCACACAGGGCATCGTCGTCATCTCATCAACGGACCATGCCATATCGGTGTGGCACTACAACCATGGAAGCGAGAATGCAATCTGGCGCTGCAGTTTGCACAGTCGATCCGCCCAAATCTTGATCACCTGGGTTCCTCACGAACGAGGGTTTCTGGTATCCGGTGAGCCCGAAAGACTTTGAAGACTGTTGTCCGATGTTGTCTGAAATATCAACAGATTCAGAAGGTTTCTATCCCTCGAACGCGTTTTCAAGGAGTACAGCCTAGCGGTGGTTCGTCATGCACAACTGATGCCATGACGTAGTATTCTCCGACCGCTTTTGCGCGTTGGCAACACAGAGTCGGTTTGTTGCAACAAGCAGCCATCGGAGCGGCCTCAAAGAGAGACAAAACTTGATTAATATTTCCTTCAATATGCACACCTGCCGTCCCACACGCGTGCCGGTGTCAGCTGGGGTCGACCACGAGGTGACGGCGTGGTGCGTAGACAAGCAGCTACGGCTGGCCGTCATGCAGGGCCACCGTGCCAGAGTCACGGGCGTGACGTACATCCCTCAGCATGGACAGTTCGCCACGTGCGCCTTCGACAAGACGGTTCGACTTTGGGACGCGGACCACTTTGCTGCTGTCGCCGAGGTAGAAGGAGTGCTTGCTGAGAACAGTGGCCTGTATCGTCGCGAGGGTGGGAAGAAGGAGTATGGTCGCCTCCGATTCGTTTGATGCCACTATGGAGTTCGTTGGAGTACTTCGAGGGAAATTTGTTGCAAGATGATGCACCTGGTTCGCTTACGGCATTGGTAAGGCTTCGTTCAAGTGCTCAATCAGGTACGATTTTTTAGCTTCGGATAAGAATCGCTGCTGATAACGTGCGGATCGGCAGTACCATGGAATTTGACATAGAGCTATCTAAAATGTTTCATGCATGTGCCTTCGTGTGTCCTGAATGCTTGTAGATAAAATGTCGAAGCCCCGTCAAGTTCGTGGATGCCCGCGGAGACCTTGTTCTCTGCATCACGCTGGAGATCGAGGCTCATGTAAGTTACACCCACGAAAATAATGCCTCCGCCACTCGTGCTTCCACCGGCGTGATCAGACTGTGCCATGGTCATGGGACTCGTGACGTAATCATGGTGCCACTTTCCCCCCGTCTCAACGCCGATATATGTGGAGCTCTGTGGATGTGTCCGGTTCGCTTGGACGTCTTGCCACCTAGCTATGTCTCCGTCTTCTGAATCAACCCATCCGTGTAGCGGGTTTACGGCCGATGACGGCGTCTACTTCAGTGGGGCAGCGTAGAGTCTCCAACTAACTCATTACACGCTTCCCTTGCCTGCCCGAGTGGAACAGCTAAGTGAAATCCACCTCCTCTTTCCTCCTTTGATTCCGACTAACGAACAGGTTCTGAGTGTTTCAACGCGACGTCCATGGTGCCGGCTTATCGGCCACAACCATCTCATCGTGGGGGGCTCAATGGTGCACTTTGTCGACGCTAGGCAGGGCAGGCAAACAAGAGCAATCACGGGTGATCTACGGGGAGAGTTTTTCATCTGGGACATTGGAAACGCTGAGGTGATGATGCTGCAAGCGAACCGCAAAACGTTCCCTAAGATGTTGATGGACAGCAGTTACTAAGCCTTTCGCGAAGGAAATCTGCCCGGATATGTGCTTTTAACTGACGAACGCACACTAAACGCTGTTGTCTGCAGGCGAAGAACGGGTGCGCCGAGGTGATGCAGACGTTCTGCGTCTACACTTGGCGACCGAACTTGGGCGAGATTGTGGGTTTCGAGCGATATCACCGGCACGTCTTGGCTGGTACCGGCAGCAATAAGGTGATTAAGACGCGGGGGGTCGTACGAGCAGGAAGTTCGCTGAAGAGGCTATTCTCAGGCCAAGATCTGGGACATGACTTGATATGTGCGCTAGGCCAAACCGAACTGGTTGTGCTTTGCCCTTGTCGTGTTCCGTCCAACGCTCGATACAATATATCAGGAAAATAAGCGGGAGAGGTGTGTAAGGACTGTTGTGACGGTGTTGGGGCCTCGTGTCGTTGCCTATGAGTATTCCTTTCGTACCTATTCAATCTGATTGAAGCCATACTACTTCGTACGGTGACATTTTGCATGGGCCTGGCACGGCCTGAGCCACGATAAGCCCACTGCTGCTACGGTGGTGTTAAATATATGCTATGTGCCCTTCGCTTAGTGTACATTCCTGTTGGTCTGCCCCTTCCGCAGTACGGCAGAATGCCATGTGCGCCTTTCGAACGCATCCCTCGGTTACAACAAGATGGCACACACGCGTCAACCCCCTAGGCACAATCCAACCGGTCGGAGAAAGCCTCGGATAGCAGCATGTCTCACGTGTGGCCAGACATCGTGGTGCGAGGCGTCGGTGGCACGATGGTAGTGCGAACGCGACAACTTGTCAAAGACGCCAGGGCCGCCAACGTTCTCGTTTACAACGGTGGGTACGTGTATTTGTAGCTCTCACCCGTTTCGATGTCCTTGTGGCAGCAATATCGTGGTGTAGCTCACCGTAGGCTTCTTTCACAGCCACAATGCCCGAAACATGGCGAAACTGACTTTTTCCGCGTCATTCTTTTGATAGGGCGGGTCTCGTTCTGCACTGTGCGTTCTCGGTACAGTGTGGAAAATACCACCTGTGAAATTGTGGATCAAAGATAGGAAATCCCTCACCTTGTTAATGGTGTGAGTATTACCGGGAACCGACTACTCTGCCAGTGAATCGGCTGAGACACAGCAGCGGTACTTCTAGCTCCCACAACTACTACCGCCGAGTATATGTCCATGAACATGGTGCTGCTCTCATGGCGATTTATGTTTCCCGTCCCTTGCGTGCACGTACCCTCTCTGCCAACCGCGACCAAAAGACAAATCGATGGACATCATCGCTTCGACGGGACAGCACCTCCGCTTTTGGAACCTGCAAACCAGCGAACCTCTGAGAATGATAGCCTCCCCGTGTCCCCAAGGCATCACGGCCATGACAACCGACAAGCCGGACCCCAAAAAAATCTACCTCGGCACGTCGGACGGAGGGATTGCGGTTGTACACATTGTGACCGGGCAGGTGAGCTAGGCGCGCCGTCGCCCTTGCTCATGTGATGTCACCTCTAGAGGTTCTCGGGGCTTCAAACCCGAATGCATTGTGGGATCCCGGCACTTCCTACGATTGCGTTGGTTCACTTGGTATTCTTGCCCATTGTGGGAGCTGGGCCTTAGCGACCGATGTCTGAGGCCCCAGACTGACATGATGGTCGACTGATATGAACAACGCGATACACAAACATTATGGGACGTCCTTTCAACAGCTGCTGTTCGAGGCTAAGAATGCCCACAACGGGGCGGTGGTGCTCGTGGTCGTGTGCTCGGTATCGCGAGAGGTGGTGTCGGTTGGGGTCGATCGGCGAGTAGCGGTCCACCGCGAGAAGGCTAATGGCCTCGGCCTCGTCCAGGCAGGGGAAATAGAAGAAGCACACAAGGTGATGATCTCCGCTTGCGCGATCAGCCAAGATGCGCAGCTGATCGCCACGGCAGCAGGGGGCGAAATTCGCCTTTGGCACAAGCAGGTGTGGTACCAGTGCTCTCCGTTCAAACTTTTACGAAATATGTTTGAGTCGCAGGTGCTGATAGTGGTATACTAGGCATATGGTCTGCAGAGAAGAAAACGAACACACACACACACACTTCGGGGATCGGCACATCGTGCAACACCTAAACCCTGACCCTAGCCCTAAGTACGACCCTCGGTCCAGGTGGCGAGACCTGGATGTGTCGACCTTGCGATACTCCATGTACTGGCGCAACATTTGTAAGCAACGTGAACTTGCTCAGAATGACACGATGGATGAATTAACTACAGCCCAACGGAATGTTTTGTGGTGTGTCGCAGGACCTCTCGTTCCAAGGCGGGATCTCCGACCTCGACGCGGACGTACTCGGCTTGGTCTTCCTGCCGGGGACGGCATGCCTGCTTGCCAGCGATTCGGGGGGTGATGTCGTCTTGTGGGTGACTGAGTTCAGCAAAGCAGCTGGAGAAGCCCGCGCGGGCAACAAAACAGCGCCAAGTGGACCAAGGTCGATACCGTCGTCATCGGCCGTACCAGATATGCGCGGAGCAAAGGCAACCCCGCCCAGTGACGTAGAAGTGACGGCACAATCAGACTCGCGGCCAAATATTCACACAAGTGGGGCCCGCTCTGCACCGGCTTGGGAAGCTGATGAAGAGTTTATAGGAGGGGACGGGGACGGACAGGGGGGCAGTGCAAATGACGATGCTGCTGCAAAGGCAGGCGCTGGGGCACGTGGGCCGGACGGCGTCAATGGCAGCAAGGCTGGCAAGGAGTGAGTTACCCGCCCTGTTTTCGCGGGTGACTGCTTCCCGCCTGCTGTGACGTGGTGTAGTGGTGGCCCGTCAGGATTTCGCTGTGTTTCTATCAAAAGAGCGAGGGAGAGAGGCTTGCGAAGTGGTTGCGTTGGAATGCTCCGGGCATAGGTACGCCGTGTAGCTCGGCCCTGAACGGGTTTCAAACGGCGTGCTCATGTTCCCCAACGGGTACGTCATTAACCAATTTCTTCCCGTGCCACGACGAATTGCATCTTGTGGTGTCTACTGCGGCGCCTTCCTCTCTTAGCCGTCATTCGACCGTTCAAGACCAACAATGTCATCTTCAGCGACCTTTTACCGAAGTTTTCATAGTGAGTTTTTCCAAGGAAATTGTCTCATCCTCCCGGGATGCTCAACCCCCCCCTCCTCCCGGCAGGCTCCTTTCGAATGCTGAGTTGTCCGATGACTCCGAAGCGATCTCGGCCGTCGACAAAAACAACCCAAGGGAGGAAAGGTCCACAAAACACACGGAAGCGACAACTGCTTCATTTCCACAGGCACACAACAAGGTGGGAAGGAGAGTATGTCCAACCTCGCCTGACAGCGCTCAACGACCGAAAGCAGAATGACGTTCTTACTGGCATTTTGTGACTGATGCGTGTCTCTGTCAGAAAGCGAAAAGCGTCAGCGGGTCATTTCGTCTCCAATTTCAGAAAGAATTGCTGTACGAAAAAGATGCGTCAGTTATATTGCTTTGAACATGCTGTTGCCTGTGCTGGTGCACGCCGAGGGGCAGGCGAGACCACCGCACCCTTCCGTTGCCACCGCCAAGCGACAAACGGGGTCTTGCACCCTGCGGCCTGGGCTGCTCCTTTCAGGCAGGCGGGTGAACCAAGCACACAGGTCGCTCGACGACGAACAGTCCCACAACCAACTGCCGCAGCAGCAGCCAAGCCCGGTGTACGAGATGCATCTTCACAGCATGTACGACGACCGCAAGCCCGCGGAATCGCCACAGCAGCAGAAGAGCAACCACGGCTCCGACGGCAAGCCTTCCCGCGACACAAGAGAAGATGACACTAGGACGACAACAGGGGACGGGGCGAGCGCGAACAATGCAGCGGCGGCGTCGGGCGAGCAATCCACTGACGAGTGCTCGGAAAGTCATGGTACAGATCGAGCGGAAAGGAGAACCAAGCAAGTGATTGTGACCGGAAGCGCAGGAGGGTGGATCGAGGTCTGGGAGGCGAAAGGTCTTTTGGCTACGGCGGGCGTAGACGAGTGAGTATGCGCCGGTCAAACCCCGCAGAACCTTGGATGCTGTAGAGCAGGCAATCATGACTCTGTTGGGACGAAACCAAGCCAACAAGAAATAATCCTGCTGGCATTTGACCACCTACGCAAACAAACACGGATGTCCCCTGCACCGGTAAATGTCGAATTGTTGCCGTAGTCGAAATCGGGTACCCCCTTGACAACTGAGGTAGCGGCGGGTTGCCCATGCCGTCGACACCGCTAAACTGAGACAGGGAGGCAATGGCGGCCAAGCTGCAACGGCGGCAGCCGCAGGAAAGGCAAGGGGTGCACATCCAGGCCACCAGGGTTCGTCGCTCGGGCCTGACATGTTGTACGCCGTCGGCTGCATCTGAGTTTGTCGGGGGAAGGTGCGAGAAGCGATGCCTTTTCTCTGTACGGCTTACCACCCACTTACGCCCAGTGCAGGGGGTAAGGTCGATTCTTGAAGCACTTCCCAGGAGGCGTATTCCAACGCACGGCCCAGTGTTGGCCGTACTTGGTGGCTGTATTCGCCTTTCAAGAGGTTTGCGAGCCAGAGCACGATAGAACGTTCGTCAGCGGCAAACATTCATCCTGTGTGACCCCGGCTGATACGTCATAAAAGTACCGAAATGTGTAGTATGACAGCAGAGGACATGGGATGGAGCTTCACAGTGACAAATACAACAAGCTTTCGGTACAAGGGTTTGCGTCCGACCTCCTTAGGCTACCGCACTCTCCTACATGTGCCTTTTCCGGTGCTTGTGCCTATCCGTGTTCCAATCAGTACGAAAAGCGCTCTCGAAGCGTTACATCCCGTTCCCCCCTCCCTGCGATGGGAGGCGCATCGCGGGAGCCCGGTGTCGACTCTGTGCGCGCTCGATAAGACTCCGCTTGTGGTGACCGCTAGCACCGACAGCACCATAAGGCTATTCTCTCTCGCCGACGTCCAGGTGATTTCAATGGTGGAAAATGTCCTGTTGTGTGAGAGTTTGGAACAAAACTCAAGAGAATTTTTGCGGTTGGCAAGATCCAATCCTATCGAGGCAACGCATCTAGGAAACATTTGGCAATGTTGTCAAATTCGGCAAACGCCCTGTCTGCAAGTAGAGCAAACCGAACCGAAGAAGCTCACCACTCAGGCAAATGCCTCTTACTTTTTGCTTGACCGCTGGCGCCTTGCTGCAACATTAGGTGGGAGCTCAGCCGTTCAAAGCCGCCAGAACCCTGGGAGAAATCGATATGCGCGACACGGAAAGTGTGCGTATCGATCGCGCCGAGATGTAAGACGGGGTGTGAATGAATAGTAGGCCAAAACCGACACATTTCCGCTATTGCACGATGACTCCTCCGAAACAAGGCCGTGTGTCGGCTTCGTCGCCCGAAAAAGTTTCCCCGCAAGCTTCCTCTACAGCAACTAGCGGTTGTTGATATTCAATGAACATAAGACGGGCATTTAACGATACACACGACGCTCGTGTTACCGTGATAGAATCGGGACAACATAGCCGTCACGACCAACTACTTCATTCGAAGTTCACTCTTTGCCCCAGTCGATTGCACCTCTCCCTCACTCCCGGCCAAATCATCATCCGCCCTTCCTCTACCGATTAACTAGGTGGTCGTGCCCGAGCCTTACCGCTGCGGATGTCAGACACGCCACAGAAATTGCGGCGTATCGCGCTATCAGCCAGAAAATCTGCACCGAGTTAGAAGATCAGGTGATTGCACCCAGTCTTTTCACCCCTGCTGCACCCTCTTACACGGAACTCACGCCCGGTGGAGTTGCTGGCGAAAACATTCCGGCGGCGAGCCAATCGGCAGCCAGCACGGCAGGCCGCGGGCCCAGCCACGCCGCTTCCCTTCTGGAGGTAACCGAGCAGGGGCGGCCGCCATCGATAGCCGATCATCGAAATGCGGGTGGAACTACGTTCCTAACCGCTGTTCAACATGAGCCAGAAGGTGGTGCCGCTGACTTTGGTCGCCATGGTGACACGGGCAACCAGGACAGCCTTTTTCCGGGCAGAGGAAACCATGGTCGTGTTCACGTGGCGTACTGTGCGCCGGACGACCGTTTCGCTGGCGTATTTGCCGCACCGGTTGCTGCTGCTCCTTCTACCCAACCGGGAGCCGTCACCACCAAGGAAAACCTAGCCGGCGGCGGCAAGGGCGGCATGGAGGATCGCGATTGGCAGAAATTGATCGATGGCAACGCCGCAGACCTGGGATTTAGAAAGCCGGCGGCGGCGGAGCTAGGGTCGACTACGGCTAAGCCGACCCGAGGGGAACCGGCGGCAGACAAAGCGGGCATTGTCGGGCATTCGGTAGAGGGGGCGGCTCGGAGAGGATCGGACAGCCTGTGGGACCGGGGACAATCTCCGCCGGACTCCTTCGACAAGCAAAGGATGACTCTCACAAGCGCCCGGTGAGCTGCTCACGAGAGTGTTGTTGACATGGCTGTTTCGGCCCGACACCTGCCACAAAACTGAAGGGTTCGGTATGTGTTATAGCGCTAAGAAGGCAATAAGGCTAACTATCCGTGGGCCATAGCCCCCCCTTCCCCCCCTCCTGCGTTCGGAGGGATTTCTCTGCTCTTGACCCATTTCATCCGTGAAGCGACGACACTACCCATGCCCTCTCACCGGCCACCGCCTGCTGCCAAAAATCAACCTCTGCCAGCGCGGCCAAGAATCACCTGGGAAAGGTCCTCTACGGGAACATGTATCACGAGATCAAGTCCGGCGCCGCATGTAACACCCTGGTGATGGAGTACGTTCACCGAAAGAACACGCGGGGTGATGCCGTGATAGACACGGAGGTGTCTCCTTTCTTGAAGGAAAACTTAACGGCCAGATTGCCTTCTTTAGCAGAACGACGGCGACGACGAAGACGCCAAGTCAACGGCGGTGCAAAGGCTTCCAACTCCGTCAACGGTGCCCCAGCCTCGGCAAAGAGCACCGGTGGAAGGGACACGTTGCAATCTAATTCATGGTCGCGAACGGGTGGAGGCACTAACACCGGAACTTCTGCGAGCACGGATGAAGCTAGGGAAATGCTAGGGTTAGAGCGTAGCACGGGGGAAGGAGGGTCTCCGGGGAAAACATCCGGTCCTGACATCGTCGAGAATCAAGCGCAAACGCAGCAAACCTTAGAGGAATGGCACGGGCACCCCCGAACCCACACAGGCAGTGCACACGGAAGGCTTCCCAATAGAGATAGTGGCGTGGACAACAGCGACGGCAACACTGGAAAGCGGGTGCAACGCCGCCCTCGCTTCAACTCACCCATTAGCAGTGGTCCTACCAAACAAAACATCGAAAATAGGGCAGTGGCTACCGATCAAGATCATACAGAATCACGGAGAAGCGTCAGGGGAATGGAGCCTCAACATGAACACGCCGCATCACCCATCCTTGCCTCAGGGCGAAACCTGGCCATTATCAAACAAGAAGACAATCATTGTTTTTCGAGAGGCAACCACAGCAACTACAGACCAGTTGCTGTTGGTCGCAGAGATGGAAGAGTGGGACGGAGAAGGGGTGCGGAGATGAAGAACGATCATGAGGCACCGGGCGGTGGCACGTCCTCTTCATCGATGGATTTGCGGCAGGGTCGAAGGCAGATCACGACCTGTGCGTCGCTCACGACACTCTCGCTGCAAGAGATGGAACAACGAAAAGCATATTCCGGCAGCCGGGGTGCCGGCGAAGACGCTTTAGATAGGTGCTTAGTGGGGGGGGGTCTGCCCCCTACTCAATGTGGTGCAGTAAGAAAGCCAACGTGTACACAGAGCACTGTCTGTGTTCTTGCGGTTTATACCGGGAGCTTGTTGTTGTGTCGCAAACAGTCCTACCTTACCTGCCGATACCACAAATCACATGGGGTTACATAGAAACTTGAACGTGTGTAAAACGTACGAGCTCCGCCTTCGTGTCTTCGTCCGTTACTTTTGGTGAGGGTGTGTTTTATCAACAACTACCGTAAATGAACATAATAATTTGATTTAGGCAGGATATACCCAAAAGCTCTCGACGGAGCCTCCTTACATCAGGCTGCCCAGCCCTTCGCATCTTGGATCATATCGTTTCATTCCGTTCCTGGCTCCTGCCGTCGTTTCTTCTGTACTTGACCTCTTCGGCCGTATGCATTCCTCACGCAAAAACGCACTAGCCTGCTCCACCTGAAGTTAGAGCTGGGAGATACGTTGAGCTCAGGAGGACGAACATTGACGAAGTGTGCCTCCATGCCATCTGCTGATCTCAAGGAGCGCTGGAAGGAGATGCAGGTGATTAATTTCGAATGGTCGGGTTGATCCTCTTAGCATCTCAACACTCGCTGGTTAGTCCTGGAGGCATGTCCCTGTCCTCCTCCTATTTACTGCCAATGATATTCCTTCGCCACGTTGGATGACGTGGATATTTCTGTTTTTGTTTCTTTCCTGGGCTTGTACATCAATGTGGTGTGAAGACTTGCAGCTTGCTACTGGCGGGCGGGCAGTCATCGTCTTCCACGTACGAAAAGATCCTACACTACTTCCAAGCAGCACTAAGCAACACTCTCGGATGTCGGACGTCGGATGTCGGATGTCGGGTGTCGGATCTCAATCTAAGCACTTACTTGACCAATGTATCGTAACTTCCAATCTCCATACACACAATTGTTCGATGTTTCTTCTCCCGATCAAGGAACGGTTCGATATCGCCGTATCTCCGGGTCACCTGGATGGTTCAGCGACAAAGATGGACGAGAGCACGCTCAAGTCGCAGGTATCACTCGTACGTGATCAGTTGAGAGGGGGGGTATTCTGTCTCAGGGTCATTGTTTTTGCTCTGCGCACCACGGACCGCGAAGCAGGTCGAGTCCAACAAGCTCGAACCGTACGGAATAAGGGATGTTAAATATTCTCCAGCGACGAAGTAGGCAAGACACTGGCAACGGCAGACCCTCGCTTCATGTCCGCTGCCCGTGCGCATGTTGTTGGGTCCTGTGGTTGGTGCAGTTTTATCTTCCGCCAACCACATGAGGTGCACATCATGGTTTCCGGTCGTCCTCTGTGTCAGGTTGAGACCGGGGTGTGTGTGGGCTGAATAGGCACCACCCTGAAGACAACGCCTGTTTCTGCGCACCACTGTCCTAGAGAGAATCTCACACACGGCATAGATTGCGCGTTAAGATTGAAGCCGCCTTGCGCACATCGTCCTCTGCTAACACCAACCATACGATGCACTCAAGGTCTTGCTACGCCGGCTCCCCATCAACTCGGCCCTATTGGCTTGTTTTCTCGTGCCCGTCTTCGTCCCCGAATTACCCAATACTTCTCTTCATAAAGCAACTCTGTGCTGCATCTCATGTCGTACATATTCTTCAAGAATCTCCTGAAACCGTGCCCTGGGAGGCGATGCGTTCAAGGAAACCTCAACGAGAACGCACGGCCACGCAATAGGCACGACCAGTCTTCCACTGTTCTCGGTGTCTGAGGCGACCCCGTGGGGATAGGTGTGACATTTCGAGCGATTGCAAAGAGCGTGGCTGCCGAAGGCGCGGAAGGTGGCCGCTCATCGCAACCACATACTGCAACTGAGACGGCCATTGTAGTTCTCCAGTCAGGCAGGCATTGCTGTTCACTTGGTGCTGCACACTGCCTCGTTGCTCGCTTCCTCTGGTGATGCAATCGTCGACACTTTTTCTTACCGCTAGCAGACAAAATCCTCGGTTGGTGCGTACATCCGTCGGCGAGTGAATCCGTCGGAAGGATCTCTGGCGTCGAGGTTCAAAGAGACTAACGAGGCCCTTCTTGGCGTGGCCAACTTTGGGACGTACACCAGAAGCGAGGTGGAAACCCTGGGCGGAGTCTTCCTATTGTTCGCCAGGTAAGAACGGCTATGGCAGGTCTTTTCCGGTATCTCAACCTCGAGCCGCAGTATGGCGTTGTCTGCTGCGGGAACCAAGCGAAGAACTCATCCTGGGTAATATTACGTGTGGAATGCTTAACGTTCGGGATATGGTCGACAGGGACCGAGGTGAAAGTCGGTAGGCACGTTCTCCAGGTTCGCAATAAAGTTGAGGGAAAAAGTTCATGCAGAGATTTTCGTACTCGTTCGAACCCACGCGCGCACCCCTGCGCATCCCCTCCAACGTTCACCGCGGTAGGGAGGGGTTCCGCTTAACGTACGACATGTGGCGAAAGGCCATGCTAAGCAACAACGGGGTTCGGGTTCTCAAAGGTCTTCAGTTTGGCATGCTCGACGAGGACAACGACGGGGAAGTATCCTTGGCCGACATCACCAGGGCGGTCTTCCGGAGGGCGGGCAGCCGAGATCTTCATCGCATTCGTCGATTCCTCGAGGTGCTCGTTGGGGAAAGTGACTGCATATTCAACTGCGCACCACTGTTTTGGGAGCCTACAAAGCGGCTGAGACATGATCTATTCCGTCAAGCGACTGACACGCAGCAATTTACCAACGGACACATGAGTGTGGGCTGGTACGCTCTGAGCGCCTACCATCGGAGGTAGGGTCAAGTTTTACTCCGCTGTATGTAAACCCCGCCGCCCCAACCCTTTCATCTCGTCAGTTGTGGCTGAACAGAGAGCGGCAGAAGCACCAACGACGTCAAGTGAACAAGGCCCTCAAAGAGACGCGAGGTTCCACGGTCCAACTTTCTGTTGGCACGAAAATGCGCGGTTCAACTTTCCGCCAACCAGGTACGACTGGAGATTTGGCTAGCGTGGGGAAGTAGACCTAACGGTCCCGCAAGTGAGCTATGTGCGACCTTTGCAACGTCTGTCACCGACGAGGTGATGGAGTGTGCCTGTACCCTTTGAGAACTCATGATAAACAAGGCGAATACTCATGCTTCGATGCCCCGACAGTATTTGGTTGCGTAGACATTGGTATCCGATACGATGTTGTTGTGCTCGTCTTCACATTATCTCCAATACGTCCCTTTGTCCGTACTGATCTAACACTTGATGCGGTCGATTCCCGTGGTCACAGGCTAACTTACCCTAATTTACAAACGGTATTTTCAAATATGGTGAGAATTATTGATGTTTGACGAGTGGCGACGCCCTCTGTATCCTCTGCATCTGATTTTTTCCTTCGCTCGGAAGAACGAAGGACAGTGCCCTGGAAACGACGAGTAACCATGTGCCACCTCTGTCAAGAAAAAAAAATGTGTTGCACCCTTGGCGCGTTCAAACCCCATCAGAATTTGTGCTTGTGTACATTTGTGTTATCTCGAAGGTGCGAGACGTCTTCTTCGATAATTGAACCCAATACCTGACGGGACAAAGTCCCTTTTTTCCGACGGGCAAGTAGTTTTTGCCGGGTCCTGTGTGGGTGCAACGTCGCAAGTAGAAAACCGCATCCATCTAGCACACATGCAGCGATACGGCGGGAGTCACAGATAATATTCTACATCGCTGTCTATCGTCTAACTTGATTCTCTCGCCCCCTTAAATTATCTATATTGGACTCGTGTCACCACAGGCTCTGAGGGCTTCGCATCTCCTCGAGAACAACGATGTACCAGATTGAGCTCCTCTACAACGCCGACGCCACTATCACCCGTAGACTCCGCATAGTCTTCGGCGTTCGTATGCCTGTTCTGACCCAGACGTTGTCCTGCCAGAGCGGTCCCGAAGCCTACATAGCTGTTGGCCCGTCTCACAGGGCGTGTGTTTGCTTGGATGTCTAGAGTCACGCACACCGAAATCATGCCCCAAGTCAGACCGCCCGCAACCCCGGCGTGCACTGGACCTAGTGCCTAGCCTGACCAAGGCATCCTCTACGAATGATGCCTTGGGTGGAGACTTGGAACATTGCAGTTTTAAGGAGAAGGCGAGCAGTCTTTCCACAGGAGAAGCGCAAGCCTTGAAACTGTTAGCTCTATGAAGAGGGGGGGGGTCTACTACGTTTTTCGTGTGTCATGCACAAGTGATCTGCGTATCATTGTAGAGTAATATTATTACTTCCTTTCAGTACATGACCGAGCCAGGTTCAAAGGCCCGGCTGTGCCCTTGTGCACTCCACGTGCCCTCTTGGTGAAATGCGTTGAGAAGTTGTACACGATACGCCATGCCTTCAGCAAGCAAGCACTTGTATGCTTACGGCCGACGTATTCAGCGATGACGTATGCAGAGAAGAAAGGCCTGGGCAAAACAAACAGAAAAACTACAAGCTCACCAATATGGAGGCCCAGTGATGAGGAAAAACATGCACCCACCTACAACGATTTTGCGAGGCTCACGTGTCCATGTCGCACAATGGTTGTGTACTGCTCTCCGAAAGCTTGAACACCCCGCCGGTCCGGCTGTAAAGACTGAGCCGTCCGCGTGCTTTGATACCCAAAACGACATCTATCACTCTTTGCGGTCCGCTTGGGGTTCAATGTTAGTTACTTGAAGATAAAATTACAACGTTCAATGGCACAGTCCCTGCCCGACAGACCAGGTTGGAAACGATATTCCTCCACTGGCGGTGCTCATCGCTAACGCAACGACCCTCTAGTTTCCTACAAACCTAAACGGTTTCTTCCGAGAGCTCAGGACATGCCACGAAAGATTCGGAGGCATGCGCTTGGTTAGTCGCCCACACCTGGTTCTTGCGCGATAGGAAGAAGGCCCTGAAAGTTGGAAAAAACTCAAAACAAACAAGAAACGCGCGATAGGCTGCATGGCGCCAGGGTGTCCCTGAAAAGATCTTTCACATGTAGGGAAGACGTGCCTCGCAGTCACATTATATTTGCGGGCTTGCTGGACGATGCCACCGCTGTGGGAAGGACAGAAGGAATCAACAATCCCAAAATCACGTTAGTCTCGTTCACGTTTCGAAGAATGGCCGGGACCAATCGTCGAGCTGACAGGCTTCACAAGGTGAGAACGAAGCTTGCAACTTTTAATGTCGAGGTGATGCCACTGCACAAAGACCGCGCGTGCTCGTGTTCGTTCGTTCGTTCGCATGTTTCTATCTCATGCTCGTGACTTTTCAAACGACCACGGTTTTGCGACATCGCCAAACACCCTGAAAATCCCTAGGCATGGAGGTATCGACGATACCTTTGGGCGAAGACAACGTAAACGCAGCTGCACCACAGAAAATATCACAACAGAAAACATTTCAGCAAGCATACGCTTTTGCCTGTGGGTTCTCCCTAAACACCAACTCCCGAAAAACCGCCACAGTACAGATAGAATGCTCAACGGTAAACTCAAGAACCAAGAAGGTGGATACCGTATCCCCTCGACCCCTCCTAATCTAAAAAAACGGTGCAAAAGTAGCAATTCATCAAATCAGAGCACACGAGCAGCAGCGGTGGCGATGGCAACGGCTTCCTCGGCCCTTGCCAACAGCGCCAGGAACGGGTCGTTCGCGCAGCACCCGAAGGACCCCAGCTGCGCGAGCTTCAGTTTTCCTATTCGAGGGCTGCGGATCCCAGCCGCAAACCTCGCCAGCAAGTAGGCGTCGTCGCAGGGGATGACTCGGTGGTCGTTCCCTCCGCCCGGTTCCAAAAGGAGATCGAGAACGCCCGCTCGCCAACGTTTGTCGATTTCCTCTTCCGAGATCTGCCAGCGTTCGAAGGAAGGGTTATCGACATCATTGCGACGATTTTACGTAGGGTAAAATTGTGACGTACGCTCATACGTTGACACCATCATGCATCGGAGAAAAAAAACATCACTAAACAACACGTAGTCCGGGGTACAAACCATACTCGGTCTTCGTATTTCCCAAGTTCTCCTGCAAGTGCCCTGGGGTCTGACTTGAATGCACCAGCGTCGTTGATCCAATTTCTCAGCAGACACAGCGACCCGACCATATTTCGCGAGCGGCCAACACAAATTGACGGGGGGTGGCGTGGTACGTACTGGTGTCCTCTAGTGCATTAGATATGCCCCCCTCCGATGTTTCTCCAGCGCTGGTCTTCGGTAAAAATCATTGATGAAGAGGAATGCCACCTCAGGTGGGGAGGCGATACCAAGGCCACCGAAACCGAACAATAACGGCCCAAAAGTCGGTGAAGATAAGCCGTGATACAGCTACCGCGGGACAAACGGAAAAAACATCCGTGCCGCCCGTTCCTATCTGATTTGGCACAGCGACCGCAAGGATGATGACCAGCTTCTGGATCATACCTGTGAAACGTAGCCTGGGCCGGCGAAATCGCTCCGTCCCGGCATGGTAGGAATGCGAAGTCAATGGTCTAACAACTACGGCATGCACGACCATGAGTACACCCCCACACCCCCACACGCTCATTCCTCCCGTGACCGCACCTGCGGAGGCGTTAAAACGTCGGAGAGGAGGGGAGCGCCACGTTCTGCTATGGTTACGGCGGCGGCAGCTCTCTCGTTCGCCACGGCTTCTGATATCGTTGCCTCCGAGTCTCCGAAGTACTTGGAGAGTCCCGAGCTCACCGCAGTCCCCTCCTGACTGCACAGTATCTCCATTACCTTTGGAACACATCGTAAACAACACAAGTTCGGAGGGTCAATTCGGCCAGCCTCGTGTACGACCTACGGATCAAAACTGCCTGAGATACTTATTCGTTATCAAAGTGGTCCTTTATTGGCAAACGGCTGGCTCTTGGGAGGGGCAAGCCATCTGCGCCCTCGACTACGACTGAGTCAAATTGGCCCGGGCGACTCTGCAATCTCAGGTCAACAATACTGCAAACTCTTCCAGGACCATGCCTGTCGTGCGGTTGCGTGCGTTGGTTTACCCTGCAGCGCCATTTGGCTCCAATACGGCACGAAGTGGAACGCACACAGACAGCAGGGGTCATTGGAAAACGAACAGGTGTCCATATAAAGAAGAAAGGCACGTTAACCGTTGAAACCCGACCCATCCGTCGATTCACACACTCACTGGCAACGCGAAATCCCAAGTGCCCCATCCGTTATCGTCACGCGTTTCTCAAGGGCTTCCTTTCTACTGGCTGCAGTGAGTCATGAGTGTTCGTCTCGTTGTGTGCATATCGCTCACTCTCTTTCTTCATTTCGAACCCTCGAACAACGTCAGAGTGGACCCGCTACACTCGTTTCAGCCGCGTGCTTAGCTTCCATGACATCATATTCAGCCGCTGGACGTGTCATGCCAAGTGGATATACAAGTGTGCGGGTAGACAGGCAGGGTCTATCTGTCCCTCCTGAGACCCCCGTACGGCAAAGACTCCACTAATGGCAGCAGCTGAGCAGCAGCCCAACCGGCAGTATGACACCAACACGTCGTAAGTAGACCTATTTCCTAGCATGAAACGACACACATACACCATCTAGGCGTGTTTACACACATGTCCAGGCGTGGTTGATCGGGTAGGCAACAGTGGGGGGGGCTGCAGCTCGAACGACGGGGTTGGTTCCAGTGTTCACTGCGTCTACAAAAACCCGACCAGGTACTTCCTTGACCTACCCGGGGGCACATAAGAAACGCATATCAATGCGAACATCATTGGAAACATCATTGGAACGAGCGGGCCTGAAAACGTCCTACAAACCGGGAAAAGTTCGTGAAACCGTAAGAACATTTCTGGGGTTCCCCAGAAGAATCTGAGTGTTTGGGTCTTACGGTGTCGAGCCTTCCGAGCTCTCGATCCTGCAAGTCCATGGCCATCGCGTGCAGATCCCTGGATAGAGCCTGGGCTTGCTCCCGACTGGCGGGCCGGCGGAGCACCTGATTCAACCGGAGTTTCATAGTGCTCGGTGTCGAGAGATTTTTTCAATGGAGGCGTTGACTAGTGCCGTCGACCACATGGATGTTCTTGGGAAAGAGGCAGGGCGGTCGAGCACAGAACCCGGGCTGTCAAAACGCTAACCCAAAGCCGTTCGCAAACATGAGCACAAACACCCGTGGTGCATGCAACAGCAAAATCGAAGTTCGGATACGATGTGAAACGTACTGCCGGGTTGTTCGATGCCAGATGCCGGAAAACAGGCACTATGGCAAACGCAATTAGTACCAGCAGCAACAGGTTGCGAAAGAAGGCCAGAAAACAAAACAAGTAGGCCGAGAGGAGGAGGAGGTAAACCAGCCATCCCCTTTTGCAAGCGTCGCGGGAAACGTACCTGGAACCTGGCCCTGACTTTGCCAGGCTTGCCCAGCGCGATCAAGCCCTCATACGACATTCCGGACAGCATGCGCGCGATCTGGGGTCAACGCAGATGGCAAACATCACGGTAGGGAGAAGCGGGACGCGAGGTGCTCGACTTCAGTTGAACAGCATCAGGACGGGGTGTTCGAGTTGAGCGAAACAGCACAACGATCCGGCTGGAGCCTACACGCAGGCCTCGGTTGTGCCAACGGGTTGTCCTAAGCTTCGGAAACTTGCGCAGAAACCACGCTCGCGTTCCGCAAACGACTCTTTAGTGCTCACCACGCCCACGCACTTGGTGGTGACTGCGAGTTCACCCACTCTACCTACCGCGGACCTCCGTCATGTCGATTGGTACTCCCACCGGGGCCCTACATATATATGCCTCCCACCTGCTGCATAGGAACACCCAGCGCTCCAGCGGTTTCGTCTACGCGCAAGGTTGCCCACTTCGCGTTGGCGCGCTTCTGCTTGAGCTTCGCGTCTGCCATCCCCAGCACGGCGACCCACCTGTCGCGAGGATGCACCCGAACGCAACGTTCGCGGGGAAATAACCATTACCATTCCGAAAGGGCGCGAGGCTCATGAATGAGGGCGACGCATTGCACCTTCTCCACTGATGCGTAGAAGAACGCATGGGTTAACTTTTTCGCACCGATGACACTCATCTCGTCAGGGCGGGTACTCTAGGAATCTCATTTTTGCGGGGAGATACATCAGACCCTGCCCCATCCGCCCTCCGACAAGAGTACTCATGCCGGAGAGGCATGGCTCTCCCCGCTTTCTCCCTCGCGGACGTAGTGTCGCCGGTATCACGACGCGAGTACGTCTTTCGTGGGCCCAAGGCTCATGTTCGTCTTCGCTCTGTGGGCTATCAACACCCACTCCATTGCATGTTCAACGGTCTTGCAAGTACCACAGGTTGTGTCGGGACGCTTGATCGGACGGACATCACAAACCAACTGCTACATCTGACATCTTGAAAAAGACTGCTTGGTGGTGTTGTCTGCTCACTCTCTCGGCATGTCGCCAGTTGCCTCTTCCGTTCCATCGTCAAGGATAGCCATTCCGGCGTCCAACAACTGGACGTCCGCCGTCTCGAAGTACGGCGTTAGCTCTCGCACGAGGCCTCTGATCTGGAGATGGGCCACTAGAGTCTTGAGCACCAGGTCTTTTGTGTCCAGCATCTGGTTCAACAGATTCGACGCTATTTCAGTATGGAGAAGAGAGGGGGAAAATGCGTGTTTTGTCGTCGTGTGCATCGTGGTTGGACCAAGAGGGCAGACCGTACGCCTCGAAGTAAGCTCCGCGGAGTAGGACTCGTGCGCTCCGTGGTTGTGTATGTAACTCGGTAGGTCCTCTCCCCTTCTCCAGCATCCTTGCTTTCTCCACGACAGGATCACCTCCCCCCCCCCTTCTCTCTATATATATATGTATGTGCATATATACATCTTACCAACACACACAAACATTCGTCAGCCGATTAGCGCGGTCAAAACTATTAAACAAAAAAGCACACGCAACACACACGCACACGTCCCACCCCCACCCCTCCTGCTCCCACAGCACCTGCGACAGGTCGTAGAAGTTCAAGTCAGCCTCGTCGTCCCCGCTGGCGAACACGGCCCGAAGCAGACCCCGCACTGCCGCCTCGCTAGGAGTTCCACCGTAGATCATAGACCTAATCACGGGGAGGTCTGCAGCGGACACGAGAGTCGTACAGGAGGCGCGTTCCCCGTCTCTGCCTGCTCTCCCCACCTGCGACAACGTGGGCGGGGTTGGTGTGATGAGGAGGCAGGGGAGGGAGGATCAAACGTCTCGCAGGCAGTTGTGTTGACTGATGTAGTCATCTGCGGCGTGCCCTGGCTCTTCCTTACATCCCCGTGGGTGGGCCAAGCGGCGCGGGGCGGTGGGGGGAGTCACGCCAGGCAACAAGCGTATATCGCACACATCCAATGGTCCCACAACAGCCTAATACTCCCGCGCAGACAGCGGAATCACAAGAACGAAATAACCCCGGCTACGACAGCGGCGTCAACAACAACAACAGCAACAGCAACTGCTTTGATAGAGTACCTGCTGCGCGAGATCCTCCGGCGATCTTGGCAAGTTGAAGTGAAATACTCGCCGCACGTTCTTCTTGTCCAGACCCATCCCGAAGGCTATCGTCCCCACCACGACGGGGGACTCATCGTCTGGCGCGTTCATGAACCAGTCTTGGGTCTCCTGTCAGCAATGTAGCACACAAACGTAACGTGTTCGAAAGGGTGGACGGGGGCGCGAGGCTGCTCGCGAAAGAGAAAGGTGTCCCACGCTGTCTCCAATAGAAATTTTGTCCCCTGCTGTCAACTCCCTCACTTGACGCCTACGCAAAAGGAAGTTTAATACGAAAAGTACAGGGGGTACGCAGATCCTCCTTATCCCTAACTCCGACCCCCAACTTACCACCCGATTGTTTACTGTATCCAGTATGGTTGCTTGCGTAGAAAACCTGCGTAGACTACTGCCCAAACTTGACTGCCGTGTAACCAAACACCTATCCTCTCGCACGACTACCGTCTCAAGTATTCGTCCTGTGAACGCCAGCGTGGAAAGACAGGAGCGAAGAAGGCAAAGAAGCTGGTAGATACGAAACAGTCCCCCGGCCACGCCGCGCTCCCAATTGAGCCCACCAAGCAAACCGCCACTCGAGCCGTAGTGCAACGACAGTGAGGCCTTCCACTGACCTCTACCCCCCCCACATACACTACCGAGAGGGGCCAATCGAACAAACAAACACACCTAATCATTGGCTTCCTAGGTTCGGGAGATAGCGTGTGTAGAGCTATGGTGTGTGTGTCTCAGCAAAGATCAGTAGAGAGATTCGCAGTCGCATTAAGTGCCTTGCACGTTTTCGACTTTGGGCTCCTTTCCAAGGACCTTGATTTTTACCCGCTGCGACTGACATTTTTTCCATGGGTCAGCCAATCGATGCTTACACCACACCCACACCTCCCGCTGAAGAGGCGGCAGTCCAGCGTGGTACGGGCGAGCGTCGATCCCCGCCGCGGCGAGCGCTTGCGCCACCTCCACGGCCGTCTTCTGGAGCGTCACGTATACCACCGCCGCCCCTGAACCCGCCGCTGTACCGCTTCCCTGCTGCTGGTGCTCTCCGCGGAGCAGGATGTCGGCGAGCAGACGGGCTCGCTCCTCTTGATCATCCGGAGCGCGAACGGCGCCGAGGGTCAGCATCGGGCGGTAGAAAGGTGTTCTGTTTGCGTAAACGTGAACACGAAGGAACGTTGGGGGTGGCGGGGTTAGACCACTGAGTTGAGGATTGGGGGGGGGGGCGTTGAGTGTTTGTAGCTGGCGATACTCAATCATCCTCAGTCACCATTTTGGTTAGGTGCCGTCACCGACAGAAGCAACAGCCGCAGCAACAGCCGCATCAACAGCCGCAGCAGCAGTCGCATACATCGTCGAGACCAACATAAACCACCGTCAGCAGCAACAAGAGACAACAGCATCGCCACCTCACCTGTTGACGTTTGAGGGCGGTATGTCTAGACGGTTGGCGATATCCACGGCAACCTGTGTGTTCGGGGTGGAAACATACAGGTTTCGATTATGCTCACGGAATACGTCCAGCACATGGGTCTTCAAGACACCCACTCTCTTACTTTTGCTCCTTGTCGTTGATCCGCAGTGAATAGAAAACACGACCCTGTTGTCCCGAGAAGGGTCAGACTTAAAAAAGGGAAATCATTGGGCCAGTTTTTTATTGGGAGCCGGACACGACAAAATCTCGGGAGCCTTACGTATTCCTCCGGTAGGAATTTCTAGTGCTCCGGTGGTTTTGTACCGTTGGCCACTTTCAGTACAATCACGACCCTTTTGAAGGACACGGAAACCTTCCTTGCCGTAAACAGTAAATAGGAGGCAGCCAGGAAATAACGAGTCTTGGTTTCGGCGATTTCGGCTCATCAACACACGACAGCAGATTTCGCGGGGAACGCCAATAAGAGCTTGGATCCACCCTGAAGCCATTGCCCACCCAGCAGCCCTGCAAACCCACCTGAGGCGTTGCCGCGGCCGTGAGAGCCAAACGCGCGTTCGCCCGCGCAGCCTTCGCAAAGTCGGCTAGGCGCAAGTAGTCCGGCCGGAAGTTGTGCCCCCACTGTGGGGAGACCAGGAGATGCAAAACAGGTTCAGTAGAGGTACCTGTTTAGTGCCGGGGTGGGCGCCAAATTTTCACCGGCACTGAACCGGACACCAGCACTATTCCAAGTACAGAACGACTTGGTATTCCAGTGTGTGCGAGCCGAAAACACCGGCACTAAACCGGCAACCGTCACTATTCAACCGGCACTATACAGGGACCTCTACTGTTTCGGTAATATTTCTTAGGCTCGTCTCGTAACATCGGGGGGTGGGGGTGGGGGGGTCGTTGACGGCTGGCTGTCATGACAACATCGGGGCAGCGGGAACCACGGCGTTGGGCAAAGAAGCGCGGAATCGGGCGAGAAGAGGGGGGAGGGCGTACGCTTGGCCTCGACAGGTAGCGGCATCTGGCGCTGAGCGCCGCAGCACACCCGTCCCTGCCCGGGGGGAAGGGGCAGGCAGCTAGGAAACCGGGCAAACTCCAACCGCCAAGCTCCTGACCGCCTACCTCGCTGATGCAGTGGGCCTCGTCCACCACGAAGAGGGCCACCTTGACCCCCTGTAGGGTCCTGACGAAACGCTCGTTGTTGAAACGCTCCGGAGACACGTACAGCAGGGCAACGCTTCCCGCGCGGATCTGTGGCCGCATGGCAACGTATTCGACATAGCATAATCACACTGAATCGCTTGTTTAGTTGGAAAGCACATGCTTCCAGAAATCGCGAGCGCCGAGAGCGTTACAACCCCCGACTCCAACGTCTGTTTGCAGACTAAGTTCCAACGCATGCGGATGGTGTAGGTACGTGCAAGCCGCAGCCGGCTAGAGACAAACAAGTACAGGCGGATTGGCATGCCGAGAGCGCAATAATAGGCCATGATACGACGGGGAGGGCAAACCTTGTCTCAGTCAACAGCGCAAGCAGCGCGACGGCACCCACCACATGACAAAAACACAACAGTGGGCATGTACATTAATTATCGGAGTGAGCGACAGGTCTTGCTCATCCGTGTGAGCGAGTGTGAGACAACAAGAGCCTGGGAGAACGTCATACTACCAGTATAAGAGACGCAAGAGGATAGCAACAGCACGCCGCCATGCCTCTATAGCAAGGGTCCTGATCTCCGGACACGGAGGTAGCTACAAAATCTCCACAGTTCCCAGTCCTCAGAAAGAACGGGATTCCGCAGAGGTGCGGCCATCTTACACTCACACCTTACCGCCAAATCTTGGAACCCTATACTGCGCAACAAACCTACGTCCCGCCGATGTCGTTGGCCGAATTTTACCTGCTCGTAGATGTCGTAGACCTCATGCGCCTCGAGGGTGGAATCCAGCTTGGCGCATGGAACTCCCGCTGCAATCAGCGCGTCGGTCTTTAAGGATAGCGCGAAGGCGAGCGATGAAGTACAGAGGGAGTTCGCGGTGGGACTGCGAGTATCAATGGCGTCTAGAGGCATGGGTAGATGGCACGCAATAACGTGGTGCAAACAAAAGGGCGTGGAAGCGTTTACTGTATATGACACAAGATAACACACCCCCTGGACGAATTTTTCAAAGCTCGATTATGCGACAACGAAGAGGATGCATAAATCAAACAGTACATTTTCGGAAAGCTCAAGACGAGACAGCTTCAACTCCACCGGTTTCCGCGCTGTAACTCCTTCTGCTGTCGAGAAATCGAGATTTGAAAAATCGGTACAGGGGGTGTGTTATCTTGTGTCATCTACGGTACTTACCACTGAGGATGGACAAGCGGGCACGCCCGCAAACAAGTAGTGGTCTTTCGAATTGCAAAAGGTTCCTTGGGAAGGAAGGGTGCTGTGGCCATCTGTGATCCGGACGCCCGCCCCTCTTCTATTTTGGCAAACCTGTGGATGACAGGTGTAGAAGTGCTGTAACCATTGTTGTTGCACATACAAAAAGTAGGACCAAGATACGATCCGAACGGAGGATCTTACGGGTGGTTGATCAGCAAGAGACCCGACTATGGATGCGTCCCTCTTGGCGCCACCTGTGGAGATTGGGAATCCGAGACCCTCGGGCTTGGTCTCCCTCGCCCCTTCGGCGGCACTCTCTCTTTTGTCTCACTCTTCTGAGACCCTCTCCTCTCTAAATATCAACGAAGAGAACTGCCAGCCCTTAGTAGTGGGTAAAGACTACTACTGCCTGGGCCTCCCCCCAACGAGGGAAGCCTGTGTCGTTAAACCTCCTAACCTTGTTCGTATGCTATCGCCGCGAACGAGATCGTTTCCTAGAGGTAAGCAGGCAATTCCCACTCCCGAGCACCCTCCAAAGGCCGAGGAGGCTTTTACAACATACCACTGGACCCGCGGGAAGAAACAGCCCAAGAAATGAACTTCCGCAGTCACTCCAAGTGTGCCCCATGCGTAGCGAATGCTGCACACCGCTAGCATGACGTGGCGAAATAAACGTAATCGGCGGGATGTGTGTGGGATGCAATGGCGGTCAAACCAGCTCAAGACGGCGGTACCAGCATCCAACCTATCCCTCACCCGGGCCCAACTTATCCTTGACGCCGGCAATTGTGCCCAATCCCATCCATAGAAGAACCAGAACCGTAAGCTGTCCCCGACAGAGAGCTATGTCCTGACGCGCGCTCAAGAGACTAAACAGGTTGTGGTTCAATAACATGTACCAAACCTGGTCTTTCATGAGAGCGATCAGTGGAGACACCACGAGAGTCAGCCCAAGCCCCTGCCTGGCCATCAGGGTGCCCGGGAGCTGATAGCAGATCGATTTCCCTGCCCCCGTTGGGAAAAAGCCTGNTACCAACGAACTTGACGGGGAGTTCAAGCCGAGTTTGACATGCCAGTGCAAGGGGGGGGGCGGGATGCGACGGGGGGCAGCAGTCTGGGGACTTTGTAGGGTCAATTTGATAGGGTAGGGAAATTGACAGGACAATCGAGTGTGTATGATGGACGCAAAGATATTGACGGGAGAGGATGAGGTGCTGAGACGTCGTCTACTGTTGCGTTGACGAGGGAACGCTCTGGATGAGAATCGGCCCTAGTTAGAAGCAAGTGACATCGGTAGGCCGTTTATCATGTTGTCTATGCAGCTGTTAAGGGTTATTCTCTTATCTTGTGTATCGTACAGGCTTTCAGTAGTGCGTCAATAACGGTGTCGTCGTTCTTCGCGATATTGCCATCCGTCATTGCCGTCGTGAGGAGGCCGCACTTCGGAAGACCAGGCGGCTGCCCCATGCGGATTAACTCTCGTCTCCATGCACCTCTCTTTCGTTGACGTTTGAAAACGACAACCCAGGTATCGCAGAC